AAAAAATCAACGGTAATTTTTAGCCACTTGAAACTTGCACATTATTAAACTAAAATTGAATGGGCTATAAAACTGTGTATTAAAAAAAATTCTACCGCTTCTGAGAAAAGAGTTTGAAATTTGGGTGAAAATTTGTTGAACTTTTTTGCGGTCTTTTAAAAAGTTTTAAACTTGAGTTTATGTGAGTTTTGTGAGAGAATGAACTGTATTTTAATTGAAAATTCTTAAAAATAAATAAATAAACATGAGTGGCAAACAATATCACTTTGAAATGGGGGTGCTATTGTATTGGCCAATACTGTATGTAATACTTCTATATTGGTAGTAAGCTAACTTCTCAATGTGGAAGCATTCCGAAATCAAAGCGAGACAGTCTAGTACCATTTTTGCCAATGTATTGTGTACTTGAATGCCGTTTTTGTATATGTGTTGTGTACATGTTTATTTATAAACGTATGTGTTCCTTTTCTTTCGTACGTGTTTATTGATATATCTGTACTGTAGTGTTTTCGGACGGTACTAGCTCTTACTGCCAATATAAGAGTATTACATGTATGCCGAAAGTAACAGTTATTTTCTTTATGAGTTAAACTTGGCCAAATATTTTATATTTACAATAAGTTTTAGACGAAAAATAAGAGTATTATAAATCTTTGGAAAATGGGCGTGGCCACGCCCACTTCTGGTACATGGGCATATCTTGGTAGCCGCTGCACTAATTTCTTCCAAACTTGGCGCAGTTGTTGGCCTTGATACAGTATACCAAATGGCCGAAAATTTTTAAAATCGGACAATAACCACGACCACATCTTATATAACGGTAATTTAGAGAAATATGAAATACTCGATAAATCAGTAAATATTAAAGCTTATTTATTCAAAGTTGATGCTTGCAACAATTCTTAATCAAGAAATGCATTTATGGTAAAATTTTGGAAAATGGGCGTGGCTCCGCCCACTAATGATCAGATATATGTATCTCGGTAACCGTCACACCAATTTGTACCAAACTCGGTATGGTTATTGTGCTATCCAGACAAAAGCATAATGTTGAAAATTATTAAAATGGGACTAAAATTACGGCCGCTTTTCATATAACGGTAAATTTCAAAAATGCTTGAAACTTCAATATTTCCAAATTTAAGGATGCTAATTTACTGAAAATTTATACTAAAAACAATCACTTGAAAAGAAGTAACATTGTTTGGAAATTTGGAAAATGGGCGTGATAGCGCCCACATAAGACTATATAAGTTTATCTCATTATGTCTAACTGAACGCACCCCGGATTACAATGTAGTGGTAGTTTTCGGAAAGGTGGAAAACATATATTTACTACTTGTGCCAGGTATTTAATGTTCGGCTCCGCTCATTTTGAAGTTATGTCTAACGGAGTTCGAATATGTAATAAAATAAAGTATGTAAATAGATAAAAAAAGTATAAAAAAACAAAAAAAAAAGGTTTTCATATTGATATTTTATGTACAAAAATAGGTAATAACAAGTAAGTTGACAGCTAATGCAAAGGTAATGGACCCTTGACTACACCTAATGCAGAGGTAACCACTCTTGACTATTTCGCTGCCATCGCCATAGAAATATAGTTACCTTTGCTCTAAGAAAATATACAGATAATAGTGACCTTTAGCTCCTTCCTAATCAACTTCAAGTTAACTTATAGTTACATGCATTTCCCGCAGGCTAAGGCACCAGACGTTAAAAACAATAAATACATATGTATATGTAGGTATGTAAATAGGTAAACACATGGGTGTGGTTTGACGAGATAAAAATGGATTGGCGGCTAACAATTTTATTTAATCAGTAGCTAAGTTTCCTCATAAATTATATTACATACTATCAGATTATCAACGAAAGCATTTGTACGCTATCGCACTTACTTTGTTTATACCTATATATGTACAGTGACGAGCAAAACTGTAACATGGAGTAACACTTTTTATTTCAGCTGTCGCTATCTTTCCAAGTTCTAACGACATTCATACTGTTGTTGTATATTTTTATTGGTACATCTTTGCTTCCTCTGTCATAACGATTTGAAGTCAATTTAACAACATTAACAAAACCAGCAGACAAAAATGTAAATTAAGGCAAATGTTACAGTTTTGCACTCACATATTTTTAATAACATTTTGACAATTTTCACAAAAAAAAGAATTATTAACAGAATGTTCAGTATGCTTTTGCTTTATTTAGTTTCTGGTTGCAATTTGGCATACCTAATGTGTATGTCTGTAAAAATTCTGGAGGTATAGCCTCCCATATATCCTTGGTGTGCTTTCACAGCTCATGTACTCCATTGGACGGACTTGGATACTTAGTAAGATGCGCTTTTAGTTGATTTCGCAAATTCTCGATGAGATTCAGGTCCTCGGATTGTGGAGGTCATTTCAAATTAGCAAATTTATGCTTTTGTTCCAGTCTTTGCGAACATGTGCAGTGTGTTTTGGTTGCTTTTTCAGCAGAAACTCTAATTTTTTTCGACTACATCTTGCAAATTTTGTTGAAATTTGAACAGATACTGTTCCTTAGGCATAATGCGTACAAACGGATCAACAACATTTTTGAAATACAACCCCAAACTAATATTGACCGACCACCGTGATTCACAGTTTGCCTTACATGATGCGCTTAGGCTTAATTTGGGCCTTTGATCCAATACCATGCCCGGCCATTTGATTGAAAGCGATTAGTTTAGTCTTGTCAGACCAAATAACCCTCAATTAAATCTTAAAAATGTGTTTTTTATTGCATTCTGTAAGGCCTAACATATCCCAATAGGCAACGGTCCGGTTTTTGTGCGATGCAGCAAAACGCTGCCACACTCGCACATGTATTTTGATCAAATTTGCTTTTTTCTTCGTTTATGATACATTTTGCTCAATTTGGCAATTTTTCGCCTCACTATCTACTGATTTGCATTCAATTTTAATACCTTAAGCGCTTCTGTAGTAGTGCCTGCAGCGCTACTTGCTACTAAGTTCTCAAGATATCGGACTGAAATATATTTTGACAGACTTCCTTTGTCCTTAGTAACACTTTAGGAAATATTTTTTCTCAGTCTTAACATTTTCATGTGGCAAACTCCACAATTTTTTGCCACTTTCCCTGCGGTCCCGCCTTTCCGCAGTAAACCTATTATTTACATTTATGCTTCCTGATTAACCATATTATTTATTGGTGATCACTTCTTTTTTTTTTTTTGGGTTTTGAGTTCGATGGCAAGTTACCCAACGCCAAGTTATCCCTCTGCTTTAATAGTTGTGAAGTGTTACACGAAGGTGTAACTTGAGAATAGAACGTAAAGTGCGATAGCACTTAGTGAGAGATGATAGTTGCGTTCGCGTAGCTGATTTCTCTGAATTAATAATTATTTTGTGATACACGAGGGTGTAGCTTGAGGTTCAAACGTGATGTGCAGTAGCACTTGATGAGTGACAAACGTTTCGTACGCGTAGCTAATTTCTTGATGACTGATCCAAAAGGTTGTTAGATAGTGTAACTAAAC